GCCATTCTCTGTGATCTGCTTTCCTGGGCTGGGGGAGGGTCATATTCCACAAAGTATTCATCTGAGTAAGGAAAAAAAATGTTTGCTCTCTATATTTTGAATTCATTCTATAAAACATTTTTATCACTGACTTTTAAACACTTGTAAATAGACTGACTGTAGAATGATTTTTGAAATGTTTATTATAGTCTAAAAGGACGATCAAGAGTTAGAGAAAGTGTTCTGCAGTAGACATTTTAGTCCTCTGGGTTGAGCTGGGTTTTATGTCTTGATTCAAGCTTCAAGCAGTCTGTCTTCATAACACAGGCTTCTTAGATGGATTCTTCCTTTAAGCCTTCTGTCCTTCAGATCCAGTCCTACCACTAACACGGCTTTGTTTGTTCAGTTTTTGTTGTTTGTTTTTTTCTAGTATGCCCTGGATTAGGTTAGAAACCATTGAACAGTGCCAAATCTCTGAGTTTTTTAACCTCACAGTCCTTGGCATATTTTGCTAATTCCCTGCTTATGAATTCCTTTCTCTACTAAACTTTTAAACCCCACTAGGTCAAAAATCCCATGCCACTTTATGTGTGAATTCAGCATGTTAATAATTAACTGGTCAGCATCAGTGCATAGGTGTTGCATTAAGGAAGTAAATAAATTACTTCCCCTTGGAGTTATTTAGCCAGCACTGAATCTATATTTGAATTTTCTCCTTCATGCTCCCTGCCTTTGTCTTCTGTCTGTCTGTCTGATTATTGTATGAGTCTGAATCCCTGCCTGCCTGAAGGCGGTCCCTGTATCTGTATTTGTGTCTGTGTGTGTATTGCATGACTGTGTATCTGTGTGTTTGTGTGTGCTCCAAATAAAGAACTTTGCTCTGTCTTTATCAAACAGCACAGAAAGCATCAAATGTGGAAGGAATGAGATGATTTAAAAAAAAAAAACTGTAACAGTTTTGAGAGATGAAGTCATTGACTCCAACTGATCTCAAATGACCCAGACAACAACAGTACTATAAATATCATTGTTTATCAACCACTAACCATAAATATTTGCATTCAACATTTATGGTAGATATTCATTTTAGGAGATTGCTTTCAAACTCTGTATTTGTTACTTTCAGCAAATGATATATATATGCACTCTTCTGGGTTAACAGCATTGAAGAACACATGACTTCAGATTAAAGTTAGGCATTAGCTTAGATTGTAAAAGCTGATCATATGGGTAATTAAAGACCAGTAAGGCTGATTGTTGTTCTTTTAAAGGTAGGTTAAGCAAACAGGCTGAATACACAGTAGGACAACAGTCTCAAGTCATAAATGACCTGAAGGTAGATTATTAACTCTGGCTGTGAGGTCCAGCCAAAGTGCCACTTCCTTATGATATAAGAAACATTTTATCATAACACACAGCTTGGTTCTCATTCTGGTTAAGTATTACTTGGATAATTGAACAAAACTTAACATTTGTGCTGGAAATATAGCTTAATAGGTAAGCTTGCAACCTAAGTGTGACAGCTTGATTGTGAATCTCCAGCACCTCTATAAATATCAGATGACTGTGATCACCCACCTGTAATTGCAGTGTACTGGAGGCTGAGTCAGGATATTCTTCAAGAAAGCTGGTGAGCTAGCCCAGCCAAGTAACAAGCTCTGGACCCAAGTGACTTTAAAATTGGGCCTGTACATGAATGTGTATATGTCACATAAATCTGCATACATGTTTAGAACATGCATGCAAATATACATATATGTACACACACCCTACAGACATGCAAACAATAACCCAGACACAATATTTTCTAAATTTATATAGAAACTAATGTTTTTCATTTATAAAAGTGGGCTCCTCTGATCACAGATAAGCCTGTAAATTCCTACTGGACATTTGTACTAGTCACTGAGGTAAAGATTTTCTGTTGAATACAAGTGGTAATGTACACACTGGACATCCCCATAAGTAAGATACCATTTACAAGTAAAATAGGACTTGATGTTATTTCCCATAGACAGAAGTGTTTGGTATGTTTTCTGCTTTTCTCCTAAGAGAGACGTGGGACATGCTTTTACATTTTTCTTATGTTTAATAAATTAAAATGTGAATGATTAATTAAGGTACTGTTGTTTAGGGGACTGTTTCTCCAACGTCAGTGCACTTACCCAAGGCTTTTGCTTGCATGCACATTTCATCCCGTGAGATTCCGTGTTGCTGCCAACAACCCACATCAGGCTCATGTTGCTGAGATAGCCACCACACAAGAGTAAAAGGTGTTAAGGAATCATTAAGACTATTTGCAAGTTAAGCTAAGTATGGCACCGAGGCTGTGTGTGTACATATATATTCACATTGTATATATATTCTATACATATAATATAATATAATATAATATAATATAATATAATGTAATGTAATGTAATGTAATGTAATGTAATGTAATGTAATGTAATGTAATGTAATGTAATATAATATAATATAATATAATATAATATAATATAATATAATATA